GCAGCTATCAGGTATTTATTGAGCATCTACTAGATGCCAAGCCCTGTGCTCATTAGTGTAAAAGACAAAAAAGGTCCATACCTTCAAGGAGCATACATGCTAATGTAAGAAACAAGAATAAACAGACAGAACAGCTGTAGATTGTGATAAGTGCTATGAAGAAACCGAAGTTTGTAATTGAAAATAATAAGGCTTCCAGAACAGAATACTTGATATAGGATGATCAGGGAAGCCGTGTCTGGGGAGGCTTGAAGGACTGAAGGATGAGGAGTAACTGTGGGCAAAGGGCAGTGGAAAAAACATTCTAAGCAGAAGCAAAAGCCCTGAGGTTTAAAAAAAAAAAAAAAGCTTATGTGTGCTAAGAACTTGTTCACTTCTTTTGCCAATGAAGAGTTAAGAAACAACCTAATTCAAAAATGGTCAAAGGACTTGCATATACATTTCTTCAGAAAAGATACACAGATGGTTAATAAGCACATGAAAAGATGCTCAACATTATTAGTCTATTAGGGAAATGCAAATCAAAACCACAATCAGATAACAATCACACCCACTAGGGTAGCTATTAAAAGAAAAAAGAAAAGAACAAGTGTTGGCAAAGATGTAGAGAAATAGGAACATTGCTGGTAAGAATGTCAGATGATACAGCCGCTATAGAAAACAGTCTGGCAGTTTCCCAAAAAGTTAAACACAGAATCACCATATGATCCAGCAATTCCACTCCTAGGTATATAACCAAAAGAAGTGAAAACAGGGACTCAAACAGATACTTGTAAACTAACAGTCACAGAAGCATTATTCACAATAGCCAAAAGGTAGGAACAACCCGAGCGTCCATCAACAGATGAATGGATAAACAAAATGTGGCACATATTTACAACGGAATAGTATTCAGCCATAAAAAGAAATGACGTTCTGATACGTGCTACAACATGGATGAACCTTGAAAACATTATGCTAAATGAAAAGAACCAGACACAAAAGGACAAAAATTACATGATTTCACTTATGTGAAATAACCTACAACAGGTGAATTTGTAGAGACAGAAAGTAGATTAGAGATTACCAGGGGTTCAGGTGAGGGGGATAAATGGGTAGTTATTATTTAATGGATACAGAATTTTTGTTTGAGATGATGAAAAAGTTCTGGAAACAGCTAGTGATAATGGTTAAACAACATTATGAATGTACTTAATACCACTGAGTGGTACATTTAAAAATGGTTAAAATGACAAATTTATCTTATGTATTTTTTACCACAGTTTTTAAAAGTAAATAAAAAGTGTATTTTAAAAAAATAACACAACCTCCACCCAAATGTAATCTGTGTCTATTTAGACCAATCTTCCAAATGCCAAGAAAATTAGGGCTTATATCAGATGAGTTAAAAGACCATTGATTTTCATTTTCCTACCTGCGTTCTACCTCGGTGTGAGTCATAAGGTAAAAAAATGTCAGGATCAAATGTATTTTTCTCTTAAACTAGTAGTAGATTGCATGGCTCATTTAATTACCAAATCTCACCTACTCTTGGAAGGAACTTCTTCCTGCCCTACCCACAGCATAGCCATTTTTCCCCTGATTGTGTGTGATGCTCTATGTCTACCAGTGGATATCAGGATACTCAGTGGTGTGTGCCTGTAGAGAACGAAAGTTTTCCAGTATAGCTTTAGATGGCTCGGCAAGACAAAAGGAAAAGAAGTGATTGTAAAAGGAGGGAATGATACATTTGACTGTATAAAATTAAAAACTTAGGTTTATCAAAATATACCTTTAAAGAAAATGAAGAGATAAAGATATTTACAACACATATAACTGACCAAGGATTAATTTCTAGAATCAATACATGTACACACCTATATATATAAAAATTTGTGCAAATCAGTAAGAAAAAGACAAGGGGCCAGACCCATGACTGAGTGGTTAAGTTCGTGCGCTCCACTTCGGCAGCCCAGGGTTTCATCAGTTCGGATTCTGGGCACGGACATGGCACCACTCATCAGGCCATGCTGAGGCGGCATCCCACATGCCACAACTAGAAGGACCCACAACTAAAATATATAACTATATACCAGGGGCACTTTCGGGAGAAAAAGGAAAAATAAAATTTTTAAAATAAGAAAAAGATAATAAGAGAATGAAAATAAAATCAATGAAAACCAAAGACCAAGGGCCAATTCTTTGAGAAGAATGATAAAATTGATAAATCTCTAGCCAGACTGATCAGGAAAAAGACATAAATTTCCAATATCAGAAATGGTAGATGTGTCATCACTACAGATTCTACTGATATTTAAAATATAAAAGGATATTATGAATGACTTTATGCCAATAAATTCTACACCTCAGATGAAATAGGCAATTTCTTGAAAGACACAAACTATGAAAACTCACTGAAGAAGAAATGGATATTTTGAATAGCCCTGTCTATTAAATGAAAATTGGAGTTTAAAGTATTCTAGCAAAGAAAACTCCACACCCTCATGGCTTCACTAGTGAGTTCTACCAAATATTTAAGAAAGAAATACTGCCAGTTCTACACAAACTCTTCCAAAAAATTGAAGTGGGAATATATCCCAACTTATTCTATAAGGCTATTACAAGAAAATAAATGTCCCTCATGAACCTAGATGTAAAACATTTTAGCAGGTTTAATCTAATAATATGTTAAAGGGATAATATACATCACGACCAAGTAGGGTTTATCTGAATAATACAGGATAGGTTTAACATTCAAAAGTTAATGTAATTTGTCTTATTAATAAACTGAAAAAAGGAAGCCCATATGATTATCTCAATAGATGCAGAAAAAGCCTTTGACAGTATCCAGCATCCATTTTTGATACAATAACAACAGCAACAAGACTCTCAGCAAACTAGAAATAGAAGGAAAGTTCCTCAACCTGATAAGAGGGCATCTGTGAAAAACCTACAGCTAACATCATATGTAATGATGAAAAGATTGCAGGGGCCAGCCCAGTGGCGCAGTGGTTAAGATCACACGTCTACTTCTCGGCAGCCCAGGGTTCACCAGTTTGGATCCTGGGTGCGGACTTGGCACCGCTTGGCATGCCATGCTGTGGTAGGCGTCCCACATATAAAGTAGAGGAAGATGGGCACGGATGTTAGCTCAGGGCCAGGCTTCCTCAGCAAAAAAAGAGGAGGATTGGCAGTAGTTAGCTCAGGGCTAATCTTCCTCAAAAAAAACAAAAAAGAAAAAAAAATATTGCTTTCCCTCCTAAGATTAGGAGCAAGACAAGGATGTCCATGCTCTTCATTTCATTTTACTGGAGGTTCTGGCCAGTGCAGTTAGGCAAGAAAATGAAATAAAAAGCATCCGGATTGGAAAGGAAGAAGTAAAACTGTCTTTATTTGCAGATCACATAGAATTCTATCTTCAGCCAACTGTCAATCAAGTGTTGGAGCAGAATAAAGTCCTGCAAAGAACTCAGAAAATTGACCTCCTGACCACCCCTTCTTAGGAAGTTACTTAAAGATGTATTCCACTGAAATAAGGAGTAAACCAAGAGTGGGGAAAAGTAGAGGATTGTAGAAGGAATGACTCTCACTCTGGTCAGCTACAGCAGGGAGGGGCCCAGCATGGGAGCTGTGTGGCAGGCCTTGGAGGACACTCTAGATCAGAGCATGAGGGGGAGCCCAGGAGACAGAGAAGATTGTAGACCAGCTTGAACAGAATGGAGGCTCTGGTAAAGACAAAAAGAGGAAGTTACAAAGATGAAAACCTACAGGAGAGGCAGCAATCTGTGAAAGAAAGCCAGGGTACAGATGTGAACCCAGTAAAGTGAGGCATGCTTTTAAGCTATGTAATGGGAATTTAGGAAAAAATAATCCATTTCCTTTTTTTGCTGAGGAAGATTCGCCCTGAGCTGACATCCACTGCCAATCTTCCCCTTTTTGTATGTGAGCCACCACCACAGCATGGACACAGATGAGTGGTATAGGTCTGTGCCCAGGAACTAAACCTGGGCCGTTGAAGTGGAGTGTCCCAAACTTAACTAGTAGGCCACCAGGGCTGGCCCAGAATCCATTTCGACTTGATGTTTTAAGGACTTTTTTTTTTTTCCTAAAAGGGCCCAGGGATTGGGGTAGTGTCCATCTGGAGAAAGAAATGGGCCTAAGAGAAAGATATTCTTGGTCTGGCATATTGACATATTCATAAAAGCTTCTCACCGATTTTCAGAGCCAGTTTTACACACCAAGAGTGTAAAAGGAGAAATGTAGCTGACGGAAGATTGGATGTGGAAGTTAGATGAAGGGCAGCCTGGACCTTTTTTTTTTTAATAAAAAAACCTCCTTGGGTTAGGTTTCTAGGTATTATGTTTTAACTCCTTTGGTAATGATCCAGAAGTACCCTTAAACAACCTGTTTGATAAAAATGGACACAACAAACTGTTTTGTATGAGTACTGCATGGAAAATAGGAGGTGTCTCAAATTAGGAATACCAGAGGTTTGGTGAGGTGGGAGTTCTGTCTGGTGAGGTTAGAATAGCCTGGTACTCAGTGTGGGCAGAAGACATATTTTTAGGACTGCCTTAGAGGGGGCAGTCTTGATATGTCTGTAGGTGACACCGTCAGGCAGAAGGATACCAGATCTAGAGGAGAACCAGACAGTAAAGGTAGCATTGTAGAGCAGTTAAATAAGTAGAGGGTTAAATTATGTCAGGTGTGGATGTCACCTACAGAACACAGTTCTTTTGAAAAATACGGAAGTCAGTAATTGAAAGTGAGAGGGCTAGATAAGAGAGTGGAGAATAAATATAGATTCATCTAAGATCAGAGGTAAGTAGCAGACTTAGAGGGTGGGTGAGTGGTCAGGTATCTTCTGGAAAGATGTCTGCTGGTCACTGTTCCTACACTGATGGACAGTTGGTTCAGGGCAGGTGACATCTGTATGCCGTGGGACAGCAAGTGCTAGCAGTCTGTGCTGCTTGGACCCAGCCTGTGTAGATGTTTGTTGACATTTGTCTTTTTTTCACCAGGTGTGGTGTCTGTCTGTTTTGAGGGGGACAGTGATGGTTACATCAACTTGGTGGCCTACCCTTATGTGGAAAGTGAGACTGTGGAGCAGGATGACACACCAGAGCGGGAGCAGCCTCGGCGCAAACACTCTCGCCGGAGCCTGCACCGGTCAGGCAGTGGCAGTGACCACAAAGAGGAGAAAGCCAGTTTGTCCCTCGAAGCCTCTGAGAGGTAAGGGGATGGTGAGTAGGGCTGAAGGTGCATGTCTGGTCCTGTCAGCGCAAACACTCTCCAGAGTCCTGACATGTGGGGAAGTAGGGATCAAGGTTGGGGGAAGATGGCTGGTGTTCTTGGGCCGCCCACATAGGCTCGGCCTACCACTTGTGTGTCACATCACTCCAGTGACTCCTCCTTATGAGTATGGCTGTAGCTGGTCGAGAGAGAATGAAGTTCTTTCAGCCCTTTGGAAGCAAGGATGCCCTGCCTCCTGTTTTCTCCAGCTTTGTCTCACACCCCCAAGACAGAAGGTTGAAATGCATTGGTCCACGGTGGGAGGCTCCAGCTTCTTTCTGACCTGCAGGATGTCGGAGCCAAAGGGCAATGAGAGGGCATCCAGGCTAGTATTCTTTTAAGGGTTTTGGGTGTCAGACCTCTCTTGAGGCTCTGGTATCAGCTATTAACCCTTTCCCTGCGCCTAGAATTCACTTTATTGTATTGGAAATTGATTTTTCTTGTAGATTAGGAAAACAGTCTACAAAGAATTATGTTTCTTGATATTTCTTGCAAAAAACGTGAACTCCCACTAGGGTGGCAATAATCAAAAAGACAGACAATAAAACTGTTGATGAGGATGTAGAGAAATTGGAACCCTCTTACATTGCTAATGGGAATGTAAAATAGTGTAGCCATTCTGGAAAACAATTAGGCAGTTCTTCACAAAGTTAAACCCAGCAATTCCACTCCTAAGTATATACCCAAGAGAATTAAAGAAATACATTCATACACAAAACTTGTACACACATGATTATAGCAGGATTATTCCTAATACCCAAAAAGTGGATTTATCCATGATGAATTGATGAATAAAATGTGGTCTATCCATACAATAGGGTATTCCTCAGTGATGAAAAGGAATGGAGTACTGATACATGCTACAACGTGGGTGAACCTTGAAAACATTATGCTAAGTGAAAGAAGTCAGCCACAAAAAACCACATATTGTATGATTCCTTTTATATAAAATATTGAGAATAGGCAAATCCATAGAGATAGAAAGCAGGTTAGTGGATGCCAGGGACTGAGAGAGAGGGGAGGATGGAAAGTGACTGCTAATGATGACAGGGTTTGTTTTTGGCGTGATGAAAATGTCCTAAAAATTAGATAGTGGTGATGTTTTACAGCCTTGTGAATATACTAAAAAACCACTGAATTGTAATAAAAATAAAAATAATGTAAACTAAAAATCTGAGCTTCCTAAAACAAAATTGTACTATTAAATTATATTTAATTTCACTAAAAAATAAGTTTCAGTGAATAGGATTCTCTGTGACTTGACTTAGAAGTTGGAATTGGGACTTTCCTTAGATGTGGCAGCACGTAGTTGATCTCTGACATCAGATCAGTTCAGCAGCACCTGCTGCACACTCTGGCACGTGAAGTTCCAAGTCTGGCACTTGAAGCTCCAAGGGCTCAGAGTGTTCTAGCTCTCCTCACTTACTTGGATGGAAGAGGACACACTCTCATTAAGGAGTACAGAACCCCACGAGACTGGCTGAGTGTGTGATATGTCATTTCCTCTGTCCTTGGTCAGGGTCTCTCTGGCCAGGTCTGCATCTCAGATGCAAGGAGAGGCTTCATGTCCACTTCTTAGTAAGCAGAGTCTCCAGATGTTGTATATTCTTGTGGAAAATGGACTCCAGCCTGCAGAAGCACTTCTTCCAGGGCTTCCTTTTCATTCCCCAAGGGGCATTCTCTTGACTGATGATTGTGGGACCTAGGCTTGGTCATTTATGTGACAAGGAATGTGCCTCAAGTCCATAGCTGACAGTTCATGCCTCTCGACAGCTCTTCAGGGTGGGTTTTCTTTTGTCTTCCAAAAGTACAGAAATTGCTTCATGAGGCACCTGGTGAAAAGCCAGTGAACATAGAATAACATCAAGGTCTGCCTGTGTCCAGGTTCAGGGCCCTGCTCTGAAGGTGACAGCTCTATCTGCAGTGATCAAACTTCTGTTTGGCCTGTTAGCAGAGTCTCTAAGTCACTCCCAGGAGTGGAGCTTGTTTCTTCAACAGGGCCAGGGCTGCAACGCCAAGGGTGATGCCAGGTGCCACAGGCGTCCCGTCCAGGCACAAAGAACTTATTTGGGTTTACTCAGTATATAAGTCAACCTTGCTATTTCTTAAAAGGAATCACAAAAGGGCATCCGTGAATGGCCTCAGCAGTGCCCTCACAAGAAGAAAATGAGAGTTTTATCATGCTGAGAGGTACTCATGGGCTCCTCTCCTTCCAGTTAAAGTTGAAATAGGATTTCTGCCAGTGCTTCTTGGCACAGCCTGCCCAGACACCCTGTCAGGAGGGTCAGCGTTTCCAGGACATACTAGCACTGGTGCTTAGCTTGACTCTATGACTCATTCCACAGTTAGAGGAAAGGGCAGCAGTTCGGGAGAGGAGAGTGGCATTTGACTTTGCTGCAGTGCTCTGCCTCTGCTCTGAGCCGTAGACTTGCTCTACCATTTCCAGGGCACATGACTTCACCAGTGCTTTTCTTTGCTTAGCAGTGTGATAGCAGCATTGCAAATTGCTTCAAGCAAAGATTTTTTTTTTTTTAATAAAGATTGGCACCTGAGCTAACAACTGTTGCCAATCTTTTTTTTTCTGCTTTTTCTCCCCAAATCCCCCCGTACATATTTGTATATTTTAGTTGTGGGTCCTTCTAGTTGTGGCATGTGGAATGACACCTCGATGTGGCCTGACGAGCAGTGCCACGTCCATGCCCAGGATCCAAACCAGCGAAACCCTGGGCCACCAAAGCAGAGCACGAGAACTTAACTGCTCGGCCACGGGGCTGGCCCCCAAGCAAAGATTTTTATGTTGGGGGAGAAATGAAGTTGTGGTAAAGTTCTAATGTTTTCCATTGGAGTCACCTTCTCACCAAAACCCCTTTGTGGTTTGACTTATTTTAGAAATAAAATTCCTTACTCAAATGGCTTCTTGCTTTCCACAGGTGCAAACCTTGTTTGCTGAGAAACACAGGTTCCTTGGGGCCTGCTCAGGGTAGACTCTGTCCTGCCTTTTTTTTTCTTTGATGTTTTCCTCTTTCTTCCAGTCCTGATACAAAGGCAGACAAACATTTCATAAGCATAATGTCCACATAGGCTTTCTTCAAATCTTTTTAAAGATTTTGTCGTAGATGTCATGGACAAAGATAGGATAGTTACTTGTGTGCTTGACAGTGGCATCCCATGCTCCACCTTACATTTAACTGTGAAATTACATGTTTATCAATTTTTGTATTTTTTAAAATTGTCATAAGATACACATAAAATTTACCATTTTTACCTTTTTCCAAGTGTACAGTTCAGTTGCATTAAGTTCATTCACATTGTTTTGCAGGCATCATCACTATCCATTTCCAGAACTTCTTCATGATCCCTAATAGAAGCTCTATACCTATTCAACAGTTATCTCTCTGTTCCCCTCCCCCCAGCCCCTGGCAAACACCATTCTACTTTCTGTCTCTCTCAATTTGCAGGTAGCTCATATGAGTGGAATCGTACAGTATTGCTCCTTTTGTGTGTGGCTTATTTCCCTTAGCAAAATGTCTTCAAGGTTCATCCAGAATTTCATTCCTTTTTATAGCTGAATAATACCCCATTGTATGTGTATACCATGTTTTGTTTATCCATTCATCGACTGATGGGCGCTTGGGTTGTTTCCACCTCTTGTTTATTCTAATGCTGCTATGAACATTGGTGTAAAGAATCTGTTTCTTATTTTCAGTTCTTTCAGGTATATATCTAGGACTGGAATTGTTGGATAATATAATTCTACGTTTAACTCTTTTGAGGAAACACCAAACTTTTTAACAGTGGCTGCAATATTTTACGTTCCCTCCAGCAGCGTACAAGGGTTCCAGTTTCTCCACACCCTCGACAACACTAGTTCCAGTGTATTTTTATTATAGCTTTCCTAATGGATATGAAGTGGTATCTTCATCACATAATTTGATGCAAAGAATTATCTTTCAGACAGTTTTTAGAGACACAGGAAGAACACTACTTATACCATTTACTCACTGTTGTGGGCTCATGCATCTGGGGCCCTGTGCCACCCATCAGCATGGTCTATGAGTGGCAGATGAGGCCTGATCCAGACCTCTCCCACCCTTCCAGTGAGATCCCAGAGGGTAACTTGTCTGAGCCCTTTAGCAATGTGTATGTTCTTCCTTCTTAGCTCCCAGGAAGCAAAGAGTCCAAAGGTGGAGCTATACAGCCACTCGGATGTCCCTTTCCAGATGCTAGATGGCAACAGCGGTCTGAGTTCTGAGAAGATCAGCCACAACCCCTGGAGCCTGCGCTGTCACAAGCAGCAGCTGAGCCGCATGCGCTCTGAGTCCAAGGACCGAAAGCTCTACAGTATCCTTGTTACCACTCTTTCAGCCGTGTCTACTACTGGGACCATGGGTCCTGTGTCAGGGCATCTTCCAGTGCCGTGGCTGAGCCCCTCTCTGTTCAGGGGCCCCTCTTTCGTTCCTACCTCGCTTTTTCATAGGCTCTTCCTCATCTTCGTCCTTCTTACTTTCATCAACATGTTTTTTCTGCCTTTTGGGGCTGGTAAGGCTGAGGCTTAAACTTGGTGGTCTAGAAGAGTGCCATCCAATAGAACTTTCTGTGACAATGGAAGTAGTCTCTATCTGTGCTTTCTGCTATGGTAGCTACTAGCCACACTGAGTAACCAAAATGTGGCTGCTGTAACTGAGTTACTGAATTTTAAATTTATTTTAATTAATTAAAATTTAAATTTAAATCACCAGATGTGGCTAGTGGCTACCATATTTAACAGTGTATGTCTAAAATCAGGGATCTGTGTGTGTGTGTGTGTGCGCGCACATCCACACGTGTTTTTCTCCTCTCCCAAAAGGTAATAATTAAAAAGTAATATGTTAGATTTTGGTGGGGATTTTTTTGTCTAAGATACACACCATACCTGTACAACATAAAATAATTTTAAGATGTTAAAGGTAAAAAAGTATTATGAAATGGAAATTCTTAAAATTGTTTAGTGTTTTGAAGCAGTAGACAGTAAATAAATAACTTGTTGCTAGTGCCATTGAGTTGATTCCAACTCGGAGCGACACTGTGTACAGCAGAGCAGAACCCTGCCTGGTCTATTTGCTCCATCCTCTCACTTTCCAGCGCTATATCAGGGAATGCACTGCTGCTGTTCATAGAGTTTTCATGGCCAACTTTTTCGGAAGTGAGTGGCCACATCCTTCTTCCTCTTCTGTCTTAGTTGGAAGCTCCACTGAAAACTGTCCACCGTGGGTGGCCCTGCTGGTACTTGAAATACCAGTGGCATAACTTTCAGCATCACAGCAACACACAGCCGCCACAGGATGACAACTGATGGATGGGTGGTGTGGTTCCCTGACCAGGAAACAAACCTGGGCTGAGGCAGTGAAAGCACTGAGTCTTAACCACTAGACCACCAGGCCCTATATAAAATAACTAATACTTACTGAGAAACTGAAGGGAAATGTGCAGAGCACTTCATATGTATTTACTCAGTTTTCATAATAGTCTTTTGAGGGAGAAACTGTTATGATTCCCATTTATAGATGAGGAAATGGAAGCTTGGAAGGTTAAGTGTTGTGCCCAGAGCCAGTAAGTGGCCAAAGAAGGATTCAAGAGCCCATGCTCTCAGGCACTGTGAGATTTTTATGCAGCCTTCTTTAAGTTTTATTGTCACTCATAAAAAGTTATACCTGGCCACAAGATTAATGAAAGGCCAACTTTAAAGGTTTTCTCTAGGTTATTCTTTAAAGAATTAGGAGATGTTAAAATGTTTATCATCAGACTGATGCTGAGTGTCATCCTCCAAGACTATGTGATTGCTTCATAGTCCCCAAATATGGAATTGAGGCCCAGGCTGAAAGCCCCAATGAATTGTAGCAGATGTGTGACAAGCCTGTACCTTTATCCAAGATTGTTGCAGACAGTAGATTTAGATCAAGACATGGATATAAATGCAAGGAGGCCAGGACTGTAGAGCTGTTTTGAGCAGAAGGTCCTAGAAGTACTAAGGGATAAGTTTAAATATATGGTTTGAAGTTTAGTCAGAAAATGGCAAGATAGAAATATCAATCCAGCCTCTTTTAAAGATTCCCATTTGAAAATGTCAACTCTAATTTCTCATTTTTGTAGTAGTGCAAAGACATCTTCCTTATTTCTTAGGCCTGGGTGAGGCGCTGGTTTGAGTAGGGATGTGGGTGAATCTGTCAAATCTTCTTTAGTTTGTATATGCCTGCAAGACAGATCTAAAGAATAAAATAAAAATGACGACATCAACAGATGTGGTATGTGTATACAATGGAAAATTATTCAGCCATAAAAAGCAATGAAGTTTTTTTTTGCTGAGGAAGATTCAGCCTGAGCTAACATCTGTTGCCAATCCTCCTCTTTTTGCTTGAGTGAGATTTGCCCTGAGCTAAATCTATGCCAGTCTTCATCTTTTTTTTTCTTGTGGGTCACTGCCACAGCATGGCCGCTGCCGAGTGATGTAGATCCGTGCCTGGGAGCCAAACTGGGCACCAAAACAGACCAGGCTGAACTTAACCACCAGGCCATGGGGCCCACCTCCAGGAATGCAATTTTTTCACATGCTACAATATGAATGAACCTTGAAAACATTTTGCTAAGTGAAATAGCCAGACATAAAAGGACAAATATAGACTCCACTTATGTGATGTACCAAGATTAGGGAAATTCATAGAGAAAGAGAGTAGAATAGTAGTTAGCAGGGGCTGGGGGGCGACGGGGAATGGGAGTTATCGTTTAATGGGTATAGTTTCTAGTTTCTGTTTGGGAAGATGAAAAAGTTCTGGAGATGGATAGTAGTGATGGTTGCACAACAGTGTGAATATACTTAATGCCACTGAATTTTACACGTAAAAATGTTTAAAGTGGTTGATCTTCTGTTAATGTATATTTTACCATAATAAAAAGTATTTTTAAAGAAATAATAAGCCAGTGGTATGAATCCACATTTGAGAGTTTGTGAGTTGAATATAGATTACATTAGATGAAAATGCCCCCTTTTATAGAAAACTTGGTTGTGCCTTCCTGGCTAGGGCTGATTGTGACTGTGGTTGTTACTCTCCTTGACTGTGGCCCAGAGTTCCTCCTGCTTGAGAACGTGGTACACCACTTCAAGTACCCCTGTGTGCTAGACCTGAAGATGGGCACCCGGCAGCATGGTGATGATGCATCAGCTGAGAAGGCGGCCCGGCAGATGAGGAAGTGTGAGCAGAGTACGTCAGCTACACTGGGTGTCCGAGTCTGTGGCATGCAGGTTAGTCGCCCCCGGTGAGAGCCTAGGTGCTGCTGTTCGCATGTTTTAGGTTGTACATGTACCTGCCTGCTACCCATGCCAAGTGTTCTCCTGGCCCACATTGGTCCAGATCTCCTCCAAGATGGTGAGTCCCCCACAGGGTGCTGAGTGCATCCTTATGTTCCCTGAGCCATCTTGTCCTTACCTGGTGACCTTGGTCTGGGCTCTAGCTGCAGAGCCACTGTGAGAGCTTGTTGCTTTGACGCAGAAGTAAGACAAAATGTTCCTAGTTTGAGTCCAGCTAGGCCCCAGGGAAGCTTGGAGGAGGGCTCCAAACGTGATGGCAGAGAACCCGTAGGCTTGGTCTCTGTGCTCTCCTGCGTTACTGCAGGAAAACGTAGGGCGAACCCACTCTAGTTGTACAGGATGGAGCAGAAAAGCTCAGGTTGGTCAGAAATGCTTTCCAGACAGTGCTTCCAGGGCACTATGAGATATCAGGCCTCCCTGGTGCTCACCCTGTCTGTCTCCTGCGGTTTCAGGTGTACCAGCTGGACACAGGGCATTACCTCTGCAGGAACAAGTACTATGGCCGTGGGCTTTCCATCGAAGGCTTCCGCAATGCCCTCTATCAGTACCTGCACAACGGCCTGGACCTGCGGCGTGACCTTTTTGAGCCCATCCTGAGCAAACTGCAGGGCCTGAAAGCTGTGCTGGAGCGGCAGGCCTCCTACCGCTTCTACTCCAGTTCCCTGCTTGTCATCTATGATGGCAGGGAGTGCCGGGCTGAGTCCTACCTGGACCGCCGTTCTGAGATGCGTCTCAAGCACCTGGACACAGTTCTCCCTGAGGTGACATCACCCTGTGGCCCTAGCACCAGCCCCAGCAGCACCAGCCCTGAGGCGGGCCCCTCCTCTCCACCCAAGGTGGATGTCCGCATGATCGACTTTGCACACAGCACGTTCAAGGGCTTCCGGGATGACCCCACCGTGCATGACGGGCCGGACCGAGGCTATGTGTTTGGCCTGGAGAACCTCATCAGCATCATGGAACAGATGCGGGACGAGAACCAGTAGGCCCAGCTCTGGGCTCCCAGAACCCCTTCCTCTCTACCCGCAGGCAGGGACCATTGCTCTGAACTCGCCGTGAGGACACACAGACTTCCTTTTAAAGGGTTATATTTCTCTTTGGTGTAAACTAAAAGAAATGTTTTTAGCTGTAGCCTGGAATCCATATATATAAAGTGATGGAGGGCAGAACACACATCCTCTCAGCCAGGCTTCTTAGCTCTACAGCTTCTACTGCTGTGTCCAGGCTGACTTAGGAAGGAAGAGGTGCTCCTGGTGGGTTTGGCAGCAAGGACAGGGTGCCGTTGGACATTGGTTTCTCTTGCCTAGGTCTTTGGGGTCTGCGGATGCAGGGCCCTGCTGTTTGTGGGGTGAAGCCCTGGGCTGGCACAGGGCCCCTGCATGCCCACTCATCCCTCGTTCCTCAGAGGGATTGGGTGCCCATCTCTTGGGGGACTTTCTACTCTTGTGTTGTAGGTGTCAGCCAGCTCTTTAACAGATGCCCTCAGGGCACCAGAGGGCCAACTGCACACAGCTGGACCCATCTTTCTCAGTTCTGACCTTGACATGAGGCTAGACTCACGAAGCTGGGCTGAAGCCAGCTTATGGCAGAGGGCAGGTCCTGGGATCCCCAGGCATTCTTTGGCATTTGAACCTGCTCCTCCTCCTGCCTGCATACCCCAGCCAGCCTTTCTCACCTAGGCGAGATTCCTTGCCTAAGAAGGTCACCCTCTTTTGCCCCACTGAAGAGGGCCCTGCTCTGTTTGCTGAGGAGATTCAATGTCCTAGTGGGCCTCAGGGCCTCTGGTGGCTCTGGCCCAGACAGTATTTGCAGTTCTTCTGCTGTGGGTGAGAGTCCTTTTCTTCTAGCTTGGGCAGCTGTGCTGCCTCTGGATGGGCTGCTCCTCCCAGGGCTCAAGGGCTGTGGTCCGCTCAGGGTCTCACCTTTCTCCAGGCCAAGCTCAAGGCAGCCGCCCATTATGAGGAGCTCCAGGCTTGTGAGGGAGAACTTTAAGCTTGTGTGCTCATGGGGACATTGTCTGGACCGTGGGTACAGGTGCCCAGATTCTGCTAATGAGAGCTTGTCTTATCAGTCCCGGGATCCATCAGTGTGTCCATTTGTCCATCTGCCAGCCTTGTCTCTTACGAGTCTTCTCCTGGGGAGTAGTCTTGTTCATTAGTCAATATTGACTTCCTTCATGCTTTCCTCAGCAAAATATTCTTTCCCATTTCTGAGGTGAGCTTTTGCCCCTGTGCCCTTCCTTAGCAGGTGCTACCTTTTAACAAAGAACTGGTAGCAAAATGAATTGTAGGAAGTGTTTCCCTGCTGGCCCAGCACCCTGTCTGTCAGCCTGGATTGTGGCCTCCCTCAGTGCTCAACACTGACAGTGGTACAGTGAAGGCCCAAGGGGCAACCTCTTCCTTTCCCATGGTTGTGGTAATTTTTGCTGCCAGTCCTTAATGGTACAGAGACCTGCCACTTGTAACATATGTGGCCAGGAGGTGATACTGCACTCACCTAGCCATTGCCAAGGTTAGTGCCCTCACCTTGAGCCTAAGGCCACTGTCATCATCATTTTTGGCATGTCCCTGTTTGGGCATTAAAGGTAAGCCTGCCAGCCTGTGTCTGTGAGAGGCCTTGGTAACTGATGGACTAATTTCCTGGTCCTTAGAGATGCAGCCTCACATATCTTAAATGGGCTCTTTGATGGATCCCATCTCTCTTGGCCCTTTGACCCTGATGCCAGTGGTGGGCAGGTTCCCATTCCTTGAGGCTGGGAGGGGCAGCTTGCCTGTTTGTGGTTGGTAATGACCATCTTCTCTCCTGTACCATCCTGTGGCTTCAGCCATAGGGGCAGTAACTTTTCATTAGTGTAGACAGACAGTCATTTCCTGGCAGGGCAGAGGCTAAGGCAAAGGGTCTGGGGCCACTCGGTACCTCCTTGATTGAACCTCTCGAGCCTGGGGATGTGCTGTGCTTCTTGAGTTCCTCTATTTTGGGAGCAGATGCTGGCCTGTTCCGCTCTTCATAGAGAGAGAGGCTGTACCCGCTTATATTCATTGTTTCCTGCCGCTAAAAAGAGCAGAAGGGCCTGGGATTTGCTGCTTCTCCCCCAGGACAGGTACCCTCTTTTCAGTACTTTTGACACTTGGAGACCCAGCCCTGTTAGCTGGTGGGTGGTGGGCATGTGTGTGTGCACACGCTCTCTGCCACTACTCTTTCTCCCTGCTCTATGCCAGAGAGTCCTGTCCCTCCCAGGCCCTGCCTTCCCAGCCCCAACTTGGGACCAAAGTGCAACGCGGGATCACGGGTTGGGGTGCTCAAGTGACCCCTCTCTATAGTGCTTCCCTGGGCCAAGTCAACACCAGCCCCCTGGAGGGGTGGGACAGGCGGTGCTTAAAGAGGAAGGGGACCAGTGTAGCAACTTGCCGGGGACCCCAACCTGCCCTCACATTGGGGCCTGTGCACTGGGCATGGGGATTCCTCCTAAGGGGCCAACGGCCTGGGCTAGTTCAGTAGCCGCTGCTCACCTGCTCACACCTGGCCACGCGCACGCCCCCTAGATGCAGCTTGCTTTGAACTTTAAAGCTGTTCAATTTGGTTTTGTTTGTGTCGATTTAAAAAATGTTTGAATGAGGAAAAAATTGGAGAACCCTGGGAAGGACCTGGTTCCTCTGCTTGTCTGGGAACTGTAAGGCCTCGCCTCCAGGAAACGCTCTCTGCTCCACTTTCCTGGAAGCTGCCTAAGCCTGTCCACGCCGCCCGAGGCCCACGCCCGGATACTCCACGTGGCTCCGGCTGCGTCTTGGCGCAGTTGCGTTCCCTCGGGACTTGCGTGCGGGGTAGGGGGGGTGCTCGGGCCTCGTGCCGAGCCCACCCCTTTCTGTACACCCAGCGCTGCCCGCCCCGCTTGTGTCTGAGGTCGTGTACGTCAAAATAAAGCCGCTAGAAACTGAGGCGTGTCCGCGTCTTTGTGAAAACCCCCCCGGCTTCCAGGAGACAGCTCCGCCCAACGTCCCTCGGCCCCTTCCCTCTCCGCTGCTCCCGGGCCGGGCGGGGGCGGGGCCGGAAGCGGCTGTGCTGCCGCGGACCCGGGCACCGGGAGGGAAGCCACTCTCGCCCTTGGCGCCACTTCCGCCTTTGGATCCGCCAATGGCCGGCTGACTCGCTGGTCCCGGTGCTGGTCCCCATGGCGGCCCGGCGCGCTCGGACTCTCATTGGCTGCGTCTGCCGGAGCGCCGCGCCCCAATGCTCGGACGCCGGCGGCCGTGCCACGTACACGCCAGCCGATTGGCCCGCCCAGATTCACGTCACTGTCGGCCTGAGTTCGGGACCAGCCGCCCTCCGTCCGGCGTCGCGTACTGGTTTGTGGCGGCCTGGAATCCGGCGTTAGGGAAGACTGAGCGGACACGGCAGAGACAGAGCTGGTCAGTCTGGCAGGTGAAAGGCGCGGGGCCGGGCACGACTGCGGGAGTGCGCGGCGGGAGTCGGCCAGGCGGGCCGCAGACACCTCGGAGCCCGGGACTCACTCTCCAGCCGCCCGCCGGCGCGATGAAGGCACTGATCTTGGTGGGCGGCTATGGGACGCGCCTGCGGCCGCTGACGTTAAGCATCCCGAAGCCACTGGTGGACTTCTGCAATAAGCCCATCTTGCTGCACCAAGTGGAGGCGCTGGCCGCGGTAAGGCTCGGGGCGGGGTTGTGGTAGGACCTGGCAGGACGAGGGACTGCTAACGACTGGGGGTCGGGGACTCACGTGCCTTCCGGGTGAGCCCGCCTGTCGGCCCCCGCTGTTCTGTCCGACAGGCCGGCGTGGACCACGTGATTCTGGCCGTAAGCTACATGTCTCAGGTGCTGGAGAAGGAAATGAAGGCGCAGGAGCAAAGGGTGAGGCTCGGACTCGGCTCCCTTCCCTTGGTCCCCGCTCAACCTCCCACCCTGGTGGAGGAACCTGACCGGGGGGCTTCTCCCTTCCAGCTAGGAATCCGAATCTCCTTGTCCCATGAAGAGGAGCCTTTGGGGACAGGTCAGTGGAGACAGTAAAGTGCTGTGGTGGGGCGGGAGGGGGGGGGGGGGTGGGGGGGGGGTTGTTTAGGGCCAGGAAAGGGGTAGACCCACTCTGGATGGGGTCTGCTGTGCTTGGATCCAGGGGCTCAGACCCCCAGGAAGATAGTGACCTGTTTCCCTCCCCCAGCTGGGCCCCTGGCACTAGCTCGTGACCTGCTTTCTGAGACTGCAGACCCTTTCTTCGTCCTCAATAGTGATGTGATCTGTGATTTCCCCTTCCAAGCCATGGTGCAGTTCCACCAGCACCACGGCCAGGAAGGCTCCATCCTGGTAAGAGACCAGGTGTTTCTTCTCTGATACTCCCTCCTCCCATGCCCAGCCTCTCCCAACCCCCAGCCTTGAACTGCCCCCTTATGTTGTGGGTGCAGAGCTGTAGAGTAGCTGTCTTTAAGCCTTTGGGGCACAACCCCTGAGATTTAGGACAGCGTTGCATATCAAGGCCCAGGAACACTGCACTAGGCCTGAGGTCCCCCCTGCACTCAGGTGACCAAAGTGGAGGAACCTTCTAAGTACGGTGTGGTGGTGTGTGAGGCTGATACAGGCCGCATTCACCGGTTTGTGGAGAAGCCGCAGGTGTTTGTGTCCAACAAGATCAATGCAGGCATGTACATCCTGAGCCCTGCAGTGCTGCGGCGCATCCAGGTGTGTAGAAGCCAGATGCTGGGTGGAGTGGGGTAGGGCAGGCCAACACGGCCGTGACCCTACTCACGAGCTGCCCAATCCCACAGCTGCAGCCTACGTCCATTGAGAAGGAGATCTTCCCTGTCATGGCCAAGGAAGGACAGCTATATGCCATGGAGCTGCAGGGTGAGGCAGGGAGGCCACAGGGTGGTGGGGGGGGGGGTCTGTGGCTGGGCTGAGCCCCCGATGCATTCCCTCTCTACAGGCTTCTGGATGGACATTGGGCAGCCCAAGGATTTCCTCACTGGAATGTGCCTCTTCCTACAGTCACTGCGACAGAAGCAGCCTGAGCAACTGTGCTCAGGCCCTGGCATTGTGGGCAACGTGCTGGTGGTGAGGCCCTGGCCCAACCCATCATTAATTCTCTCAGTTTTGGGGAAAATATGGCCCACTTGTATCTTCTCCACTGTCCTCAGGACCCAAGTGCCAGCATTGGCCAGAACTGCAGCATTGGCCCCAACGTGAGCCTGGGTCCTGGTGTGGTGGTGGAGGATGGTGTGTGTATCCGACGGTGCACAGTGCTGCGAGACGCCCACATTCGCTCCCACTCCTGGCTTGAGTCCTGCATTGTGGGTTGGCGCTGCCGTGTGGGCCAGTGGGTAAGCCTATGGGCTGGGCCATGTGGGGAGAGGGGCAGGGAATGCGCCTGCCTCATTGACAAGGCCTGCCCCCTCCCCCAAGGTGCGCATGGAGAATGTGACAGTGCTGGGTGAGGACGTCATAGTTAACGACGAGCTCTACCTCAACGGGGCCAGTGTCCTGCCCCACAAGTCTATTGGCGAGTCGGTGCCGGAGCCTCGCATCATCATGTGAGGGTATGCCACGGGGCTGGGTAAGCCCTTATTTCTCCAGTGACAAGGGGAGCACTGGCCTGACACATCGGAAGGCCCTGGACTCGTTGCCATTTGTCTGGGGAAGACTGGACGAGGCTGAAGCTGTTGGACACCTGCCTTCTCTTATGGACATAATCTGGCAGGATCTTGCTGGGCACCCCCACAAAGCCCACTCCCTCAAGAAGGGCCGGGCCAGGCCTGTATGGAATAATAATTTAATGCTCACTGTGGCCCTGACTGAAGGTCAAGCTCAGGCACAATTAGGGCATGGCTGGGCCCCCGCCAATGAGTTTACACACAGGCAAGGAGGGTGGGTGTGGTGGTGGTGGGGTGATAGGGGAACAGCAAGGGGAGCTCATAAATAGGGCCCAGTGTGGGCCTGGGTTCGAGGGTGGAGGCTCCTGCTGTGTGGGCTAGGCGGGCCTAGGTGGTCGAGGAAGTGGCACTCGCATTAGCTGCCTTGTCCCAGTCCTCTACAGACTCGATGGTGGCCTTGCAGAAGAAGCAATCCTTGTTGTTCATCAGGTGCTGGTTGATGCAGGCTCTACAACAGGGGAGGGGATGAGGATGGCCTGTGTATTTCTGCTGCTCCCCCCACAACCTCCTGTGGCCATGGGGCCCACTTACTTGCAGGACTTGTGGCCACAGGGCTGGAACACAGCAGAAATGGGGTGAGCGTAGCAGATGGGACAGAGGTCTTCTTCACTGGTGGGCTGCAGGGAGCAGAATGCAGGGTGGGCTGGGATTGGATGTCCAGACAAGTGGACATACACTATGCCTGTGTGGTGCGCACACAGTTGTGCTGAAGTGTATTTGGGTGGTGTGAACCTGGCCCCACTCACCAGGGAGGCAGCAGCTGCCTGGGCAGATGCAGAGGTCAGGTGTGCCAGCATCTGTTCCACTTGGGCCAGCTCCTCAACACTGATGTAATCTGTGTCTGGGGGGTGGTAGGAGGTGTCAGGCCAAATGTAGCCCTAGAGTCCAGTGCCTCTTGAGTGCTCCCAGCCTGGGAATTTGCTCTTCTTGGGACTCCTGACATGGCCCAGCCCCAAATCCCTCTTCCCTGACCCAGCCCTGCCCCACTCACAGCTCTGTAGCGAGAAGTGCTTCCGGTCAGGGGCAGGCAGGGCAGTACCAGGGGCAGAAGGCTCTGGCTGCCCCAAGAGATAGCATATAGAGCGGAGCTGGAAGCAAGGATCAGCCAGGAGCACTGATGTGGCTCTCTCTTTCCTAGGTGAGAGAGTGCAAGGTAGTCAGAAGGCTGGGGCCTGTCTGAAAGCTATTATTGGAGGGGTGGGGGTGGCATGCCAATCTAGCCCACTTGCATTATTGCCCCCTTCATCCCACCCCATCTCCCTGCTTCTTACCAACCTCCCCCCACCCCCAACAAGTCCTAAATCCCAGTAACGACCCACACCCGGAGTACCAGTTTAAGGGGGTTCAGAGGCGACACGAGAATATAAAGTCCACCTGCCTCCTAATAATATATTAACTTCAAAAAAACCAAAGAGCATCATTAGTACCTTAAAGGCGTACTTCTCAGGTTTCCCCTTCTCTTAGGGGAGATGTGCGCTACGGAAAGCCGCCGGGCAAGCGCAGGCCAAGGTATTGGGGCCGGACTCGCGCCCCCTCTGGCGGCCACGCGAGGCCCTTGATGGCCGGGGACGCGACTGCCCCGCCCCCTCCAACAGGAGCCAATGGGAGCCCAAGGCCCCGCCCTCTAAGCCCTCGCCTCGGGAGCGTATTTAGAAGCCAAGTGCCCAGGAAAGCTCTCGGAGAGAGCTGGGGAAGCCCGAGAAGGGAGTGGTGAGTGGAGCGCGGCTCTACTTCTCAACCGGGAACCGGGGAGAGAGTGCGGCCCCACATCTTGCCTTCTCGGCCGTCGGGCATTCAGCGCCACGCACGTCGAGCTAGAGCAGAAGTGGGTGAGTCCCGGAGCCGCGCCCGGCACAGAGCTGCCCTGTCCTACCCGTGGCAGTCGCCGCCATGGCCTGGCTGGTGGCGCTGGGCGCACTGCTGTGCATGCTGCGCGTCGGGTTTGGCACCCTGGACTCCGAGGGCTTCCTGATCCCGGCGCCTCATAACTGCCCCTACAAATGTGTGTGCGCTGCCGACCTTCTGAGCTGCGCAGGCCTTGGGCTGCAGGACGTGCCGGCCGCGTTACCTGCCGCTGCTGCAGACCTCGACCTGAGCCACAACGCACTCCAGCGCCTGCGCCCCGGCTGGTTGGCGCCCCTCTCCCGGCTGCGCGCCCTGCGCCTAGGTCACAACGAGCTGGATATGCTAGGTCGCGGAGTCTTCACCAATGCCAGCGGCCTGCGGCTGCTCGATTTATCTTCTAACGCGCTGAAGGCGCTTGGCCGCCACGACCTCGATGGACTGGGGGCGCTGGAGATGCTGTTTCTGTTCAATAACCGCCTGGCGCACTTGGACGAGCATGCCTTCCGTGGCCTGGGCGCGCTCAGCCGGCTCTACCTGGGCTGCAACGAACTCGCGTCCTTCTCTTTCGACCACCTGCACGGTCTGGGCGCAACCCACCTACGTACTCTGGATCTCTCCTCCAACCGCCTGGGACGCATTCCCATACCTGACCTGGCTGCACTGCCGGCCTTTCTCAAGAATGGCCTTTACTTGCACAACAACCCTTTGCCCTGCGACTGCCGCCTCTATCACCTGCTACAGCGTTGGCATCAGCGGGGACTGACTGCTGTGAGCGACTTCGCACATGAGTACATGTGCCTGGCCTTCAAGGTACCCACATCCCGCGTGCGCTTCTTTGAGCATAGCCGCATCTTTGAGAACTGCTCAGCTGCCCTGGCTTGGGGCCTAGAGCGGCCTGAAGAGCAGCTGCATGTGCAGGTGGGTCGGTCGCTGAGGCTACACTGCAACACCAGTGCCCCGGCCTTGCGCATTGCCTGGGTCTCACCACAGCATGAGCTGCTTGTGGCACCAGGATCCCGCAACGGGAGCATTGCAGTGTTGGCTGATGGCAGCTTGGCCATTGGCAACGTACAGCCATGGCATGAGGGTGTCTTTGTGTGCCTGGCTACCGGGCCCCGTCTGCATCACAACCAGACACATGAGTACAATGTGAGTGTGCACTTCCCACACCCTGAGCCTGAGGCTTTCAACACAGGCTTCACCACGCTGCTGGGCTGTGCCGTGGGCCTGGTGCTCGTGCTGCTCTACCTGTTTGCACCACCCTGCCCTGGCTGCCGCCACTGCTACCATCGCACCTGCTGCTGCTGCTGCCGCCGCTGGCCCAGAACACCCAGCCCACTCCAGGAACTGAGTGCACATTCCTCGGTACTCAGCACCACGCCACCTGATGCACCCAGCCGCAAGGCCAGCGTCCACAAGCATGTGGTCTTTCTGGAGCCAGGCAGGAGGAGCCTGAATGGTCGTGTGCAGCTGGCCATAGCTGAGGACTTTGATCTCTATAATCCCATGGGCCTGCGGTTCAAGACTGGGTCTGAGTCCGCTAGCTCCACAGGCTCTGAGGGTCTGGTGATGACCTAGGCTGCCCAGGGCCCCTACCCAGGCCATTGCCTGCCTGCTGCTTACCCTGCTCTCTGCTGCTGCCCAGAAAACTGCCAGATGCTGATGGGAAGCACTGGGCTTGGTCCCCCAGCCTCCTGTGTGAGCCTCAACCTAAACCACAGCAGCCCCACTCACCGATAGAGGGGTTGGGGTCCCCATCCTCTCTCCTGTTCCACCCCAGCAAAGAACCCAAAGGACCCAGGCCATAGAGGGCCTGCTTGTGCCTTCTTTCCTTGGGACCTCCTGGTGCCTAAATGTCCCATGAAGATTGGAACCAAGGCCCACCTGGAAGAGCCCTTGGATTAGAACCCCAGGTCCACCCTCAGGGGCTGAAGCAGCTATCAAGGAGTGGTGATGAAGAACTGAAGCATAAACACCTTTCCTTTTCCAGGGGGTAGGAAGAGAGTGGGCCCACAGGGTAAGAGGAAGAGAGGCCAGAAGAAGACCTAGCCCCCTACCCCCAGGGTTGAAGGAGGAAACAAGCCCTCCCTCTGGTGAAATAGGACTCCCCATGCCCCAACATCCCACCTACTTCAAGCTTCACAACTCCAGGTAGAGTCTGGTGGGCAGGCATGAAGCAGCCAAGGCCCCTTAAGAGACCCTTGGAGCCTCACCAAGCCCTGGCCAGAGTGGCCTGCTCCCTCTGGCCAGGGGCATCATCCACAGGCCACTGTGAGGGCAAAGCCTCTCCCATGGGCTCACGAGACAGCAGTAAGGGGCACGATGGCCTGTGCCCACAGCTTTTCAGCAGTAAAAAGCCTGCTAAGCATGGCTGAGATGGGAGGGCCGAGCCGGAACTCACTGTCCCTTGAGGGTAGAAGCCTCTTAAGGGCTGGCACTGGTCTCAGTCTAATGGCTGAGGCAATGCCCTGGCTTCATATGTATCTCACCACTCCCACTGCAGGGAGGCAGGGAAGGGGGGTCTTGGAACCCCTCCTGTGTCTGGGCTGAGCCGGGGGCCACCACAAGTGTCCTGGATTCAGCTGTCATGGAGTTTCTTAATAAAGGTAGTACATGCTCATTGCTGGAGCCTTTGCAGATGCAGGTAGCAGTGTGTGTGCTCAGCTCTTGATCCAGCAGTGCTGTTCTGAGACATCACAGAATGGTACCCTGCCCTACCAAGGTCTTGTTCGCCTGTCTGAGGTGTAGCCACAAGCCAGTGGCTCTGACTGTGGGCCAGGGCACCCTGTTCTGCTGGGGTCCCTGATTCTCCTACTCAGAGCTGCTGCTGCCACCTATTTAGGCAGTTCATACCTCGCTGCCTTCCCTCTGCTTCAAAACCTGATACTGAGGTCCATTTCAGAGATAAGGAAACTGAGCTTCAGGGAGGCCCTACCCAGCTCCCTCCCCATCAGACACGCTCAGGTCCCACAGGGGCCCACAGTCCCTAACACTCACCCTGAGGCTGGGCCATGCACCAGGAGCTGCACCAGGATGCCTGTCACTGCCACTAGAATAGGGTAGTGGTCCACGCTCTCCAAGCCTAAGGGGAAGGGAGTAAGGGGATGAGCTACCCACGTGCTCCTGCTGCAAGGGCTCCAGACCTGCCTGGCTGACGCCATCCACCCCTCCCATTGTCCTCTCCACAGAAGGGAGAACTAAGGTTGGGGAGAACCAAGGCCTGTGCTGTAGCATGTTGGGTGCAGGCATCTAGGTCCTTACCAGGCAGCCGCAGGCTGACCACGCGGTCAAATAGGTTCCTCTCAGCCGTCACCCGATTCAGCACTTGGTTCAGCAGCTGTGAGGGCAGGAGCCCTTTGGTGGGTGGGTGGGCTCATGGTTGGGGCATCCCCAGGGTTCCACCCTCTTTGCCCAGATGAACACACCTGTGCCAGACGCTGCAGCAACATCTCAGAGGTAGGCCGGGCCCAGTCAAGGAATATCTCAGGCACCAGTGTGATGGTCATCTCCAAGACGCGCAGCAGGCTGACTGAGAGGTCAAAGCAGGTGGCACATACCTTGAGCTGCCGGCTGTCCACAAAATTCCGCTCCAGGCGTTCAGCAGCCTGTTGTATCTGAGCCACCAACAAGGCAGGTAGCAGTCAGTGGCCTGGCCACACTGCAGATCATGCCTTGTCCTCTGGAACACCTTGGCCCACAAGGTCCCACCATGACCCACCTCCTGGATCATGCCGATGAACTCAGAGAAGGCCCAGTTGAGCTGGTTGAGGACGCTGTTGAGGAAGCTGGGGGCCACGTCAGGACCCTGCCGCAGCAGGTCTGCCATGTGCTGCTGCAGCAGGGTGGAAGGGCACGGCTCTGCAGGGGCATGGGGAGGTGGCATCACTGGGGACTCCAGCCCACGGCCCCCACCTGTCTGCCTCTGTCCTCACTCATTGGGCCATTGGTATAAGGGAATGCTCAGGTCATGAAGCCAGGGTGACAGGGTACAGTACTCCCTGGAGATTAGAGCCTAATCTGTCCCCTCCTGCTGCTGGGCAACCCACAGGCTGCAGTTGTTTCCAGCCCCACACCATCCACCTTAAGCCTAGAGCAGCCCCCCAGCCCCAGCCTGACCCCCAGCAAGTTCTTAGTCACATGCCCTTCATGGAGGGATAGACCTAGACAGGGCCGCCTAGACCCCTCCTCACTCATATCAAGGCCAGCTTCCCCAAGAGCCTACTCTGAGCCCTGCTGTCCTCTAATGTCCTCTGCTGTCCTTGGCTTGGCCTTGGCATATGGCCGAGGTGGTGGTGGGTGCCAAGTCTCCGTTGACAGGCAGCAGTAACCAGAGCCTTCAGCTGCAGCTGGGCTGGGCATACCTCCCCTCACCCCGCCCCATGCAAATCAATAGTTCCCGCAGCAGCAGGATGTGTATCTGGCCCCACTGCTGCTCTCTATTTGCAGCTCAGTTTCACCCTGGAGGCAGGACCAAAACAACTGGCAAGGACTTGCCATGTAACTTTGCATAAGGCACTTGGCTTCTGGGGACCCCTTCAGGCCAAAACACTGCCCACAGGGCAGAAACACAACATGTGAGCCAAGGAGAGCCACCATGTGGGGTGGCAGGCAGATTCTGCAAGATGGACAGCCTAGGATCCTGGGCTGGGCCTAAGTGTAGGTACTCAGGCTCACAGGGCTTTGCTGGACAACGGTCCCAGGAGAGAGTGCAGCCTCTGCTCTCAACCAAATGCCCTTTCCTCCAGGAAGCCCTATGGACACCCTGTGGGGCCCTGGCCAACCCCCAGTCTATGCCCCAGCCTTGACTCAGGTATTAAAGGTGTGGCACCAGCAGATGGCAATGAAGGGGCAGAAAATGGGACAAGGCTGGAGGTAGGGAGCTGGCTCAGAGAGCAAGGGACAGGGTCTTTACTCTGCCTAATCTGCCAGCAGCCTGAGAAGATGCTGCCCCTTTTCACTGTGACCAATGCACCACATTCAGTCCCAAAGGGCACATGTTGGACTAGGGAGCAAGGGCAAGTAGTCCCAGAGTGTCCTTGGACTGGGAGGAAGCAGGGAAATGAGAACCCCAGAGGACATATAGGAAGTTTGGGGCCCAACAGGAGTCCTGGAGAGGGGCTGGAAGAAGTGGGAAAGTCTGAAAGAACCCAAGAGCAGTGGGCAAGAGCCATCAGCCTGTCCAACCTGATACTCACTCTGAAGGCTGGGCAAATTGGCGTCCTCAGGTTTGGTTTTCAGCAGGTGTGGCAGCCGTGTATAGCGGTACCCAAACCCACAGCCCTGAGAACGGGGTCGGTGGGAGGTCAGTAGGGCAGGGCAACCCTTCCCTCTAACCAGCCACAGCCACTTCCCCTCCAGCCAAGCTTACCCTCCAGAGCCGCACCAGGATCCAGTTGGTCTGGGCCCAGGGCCGCTGCTCATAGGGAGCCAGGAGGCTCCTCACCATGGCAATGCGCCTGTGAGGGCGAGGGGTGGTGGGAACAGGGTGAGGCTGGGCACTGTGCTGTGCAGGGCAGGGTGTGTGCCCCCTACCCTGGCCCTCCACTCACTGTTCCTCAGGGATCCGCTCCACAGCTCGCAGGGAGTGTGGGTAGCACACGTAGCTGGCCAGGGCCTGCATTAGTGAGTCACGGATGTCTGCTGGGACAGGCCATAGCTTAGCAGGTGCCTGGCATGAGCCCTGGCCCCCATGCCTCCCACCCAGCTGGCCAGCATGCTGTGCAGAAAATGGCCAGCCAGAGGTGCCATCCCATCCCCATCCCCGAGCCCTCTGTAGGTCACCATACCAGTGCCCACGATGCGTGTGTCAGCAAAGTGTTTGGCAAGGATGGCGGCCAGGCGGGTCAGGGTCTCTTCATAGCCTGCAGGGTAGGTTTGTAGAAGCTGTTGGCTAGGAGTGGGGGCTCCAAAGCTGGATCCAAGGGCCAGTCTGGGCCCAAGCTGGCATCTGGGGACTTCGGACCCAGCATTCACTGACAGTTGGTGAGAGGCTAGGGCACAGACTCACTGTGGGGGTTGGATAGGTCCTAGGGGGAGGACAGGTCCTGGCAAGAGTCCTGACTGGGCTCAAACCCATCTCAGCACACACACTTGTTGGCTTATCAGTCAAAGCCCCTTGGGCACCCACAGTTCCACCTCTGAGGACAAAGTCTACACCTAGGCCTGGGGTGGGGCAGGAGGCAGGCCAGGGACCTGAACGTCTACAGCCTGATCCAGACAGAAACCACCAAGCCCCGGTTGGAATCAGTGGTCAGCAAGAAGCCCTGGCTCCTAGGTGGACCCCCAGCAGGGTCCCAGCCCTTGCTGTGATCTACGAAGACAAAACACTGCGCCTGCACGGGATGCCACACTCTGTGGCCAGTGCCAGCACGGCAGGGTGAGAGGCCAGCTGGCTCCTAGACCACAGTGGCACCAAGAAGGAGATGAAAACCAAGGCGGTTCCCCACCCCCGTACTTCATTTTGTTTGTTTCTCTCCCAGTACCAGGGAGGAGCTGTTGGCTCTGTGGCTATTGGTACCGGGGCAAGGCTTTTAGAAATGCTTGTTTGATACAGGGCAGAGCAGAGCAGGAGCTGCCTACTCTCCTCCCAACATGGATGTGTGCTGCTGGGCCAGGAAGGCTCAGAACAGGGCTCACACCAAAGGCATCCTTTTCTGTCCCCTCCCAGCTTAAATGGCCCTGTCACCTGGGAGCTCCTCCATGCTGTGCACAGGGCCAAAGTAATTCTTGAGAGCGCTGTAGCTATTGATGGCCACGCTCAGGTAGAATTCAGGCATGAAGGCAAAGAGAGAACCTGTGCGGTCACCATGCTCGATGGTCCGCAGGCAGACGCGCAGCAGCCAGTAGATGTCCAGCATCTTCTCCTGCGGAAGGCACACAGGGTGCTGCTGGGCTGCTCATGGGAAGGGTCACAAGGGGCAGGGCCCGATTTGGGGCCTAGGAATGGCCTCCCAGGAATAAGACATGAAAACTGAGAATTGGATTCCAGGAAGCAGGAGCAGTGGCTCAGGCAGGGGTGATCAAGCACTCAGCAGGCAAGAATGGCACACCCAGCCAGGAGAGGGCAACACCTCTCTGGTTTACATTTTTTAAAGGTACAAGACGTTTTGAGTGAGAGGGTGCCATGTGACCAGCAGTCTGTGTTGGAACACTGCCCAGTGCAGAAGGGGCTGCAGGGGCAAGTGGGGACAGGGCCGTGAGGAAGCTCCAGCCTTGTCTAGGTCCAAGACAGCAGACAAAGGGACTGGATGGCCAGGAATGGGAATGCACTGATGGGCTATGGGGGCAAGGGAATGGTTGCACCAAGAATGGGGCCCACATTTCTGGAGGGGAAGGAGCCTCCGCCAAGTCAGAAATACTGGAGGAGAAGCAGGCCTGGTGAAGCACAGAGGGGATGCTGCTTAGGATGTGTGGAGGATAAGGTACCTAGAGATGCCCCCAAAGCAGTGGTATTGAGGAGGCAGGTAGAAATCTGGTCTGGAGCTCAAAGGAGAAAGTAGTGGGAAGGCAGGAAGCAGCATGACTGTTGGTGGAACAGAGGCCACAGAGAGCAGACAAAACCTGCCAAGGGCCCTGTTCCCCACAGTATGGTTTTCAGATAGTCTGTCAGGATTCCACGAAGGGGCCCAGGAGGAGTCACTGACCAGAATGAGGCCCCAGGCCCCAGCCCAGACCCAGAGTACTCATATCTCTTGGAGTGGAGCTGGAGCATCTGGACTTTGCACCAGCTCTCTGATGTGCTCTCCAACCTGAGAACCCGAGGCGAAGATGTCAGACGGTGGGCCTGGGCCTGGCAGCACTTGTGGGCAGTGAGCCAGCTCTGCTGGGAGACTGTTGCCACAGAAGACCAGAGAAGACTGAGTCTGAGGAGGGGATGGCAATGACATTGATGCAGCCAAGAGGTCACTGTAATGGGGGTGGAGGTGTGTCCACAAAGGTGGTTGTGGGGAGCTTGACAGAGATCTTGCAGGACTATTTCAGAGAAGTGGAGGAGCCTGTGGTGGGCCAAGGGTGAAGTGGAGATGAGGAAGCTAAGACACAGAGAAGGAAGGAGATAGTGGTAGCTGTAAGCAGATATAGAGTCACGGAAAGGCATCATGGGCTTTTTCCTTTACTAATGGGAGAAACTGAATGAGAAGGAGGCAGGAGTGTGAGCACTGAAGATGCAGAAGAAAGAAGGCAGTTCAACAAAATAATGGCTATCTTATGAAAAGCCCACAACTAGCACCATACTTAATGTGAAAGACTGAAAGCTTTTGCTCTAAGCTCAGGAACAAGACAAGGATGCCAGCTTTTGCCACTTCTATTCAACATAGTACTAGAAGTCTTAGCCAGAGCAATTCTTAGCTAGGCAAAAAAAAAGAAGCAAAAGGTATCCAAATTGGAAAGGAGGGAGTAAAATGATTGCTGTTCACAGATGACCTAGTCTTATATATAGAAAACCCTAAAAATTCCACAAAAAAACTTTTAGAACTAATGAATGAATTCAGGAAATTCACGGGACACAGCATCAACACACAAAAATCAATTGTGTTTCTACATACTAGCAATGAATAATTCAAAAAGGAAATCAAGAAAATAATTCCATTTACATTAGCATCAAAAAGAACTAAATAGGTGTGAATTTAACCAAGGAGGAAAAAGACTTGTACATATACTGAAAACTACAAAATGTTGCCAAAAGAAATTTAAAAAGGCACAAATTAATGGAAAGACATGTCATGTTCACGGACTGGAAGACTTAACATTGTCAGGATGTCAGTACACCCAAAGCAAGCTATGGACTTAATGCAATTCCCATCAGAATCCAAATGGTGCTTTTTGCAAAAATAGAAAAATCGATCCTAAAATTCATAAGGAATCTCAAGGGACCCCAAACAGCCAAAACAACCTTGAAATAGAACAAAGTTGGAGATCTCATACTCTTGATTTAAAAACTTATTGCGAAGCTACAATAATCGAAACAGTGTGGTACTGGCATAAAGACAGAAATATAGATCAACGGAATAGAATTGAGAGCCCAGAAAAAAAACCTGGCATACATGGTCAAATGACTTTTGACAAGGATGCCAAGACCATTCAATGGGGAAAAGACAGTCTTTTCAACAAATGGTGCTGGGAAAACTGAATATCCACATGCAGAAGAATTAAATTGACCCTTACCTCACAACATATACAAAAATTAACTCAAAATGGATTGAAGATCCAAACTTAAGAGCTAAAACTATAAAACTCTTAGAAGAAAACAGGTGAAAAGTTTCATGACCTTGGATTTGATGACGATTTCTTGGAAATGACAAAAGCACAGGCAAGAAAAGAGAAAATAGATAAACTGGCCTACATCAAAATTAGAAACCGTGCATCAAAGGACACAATCAACAGAGTAAAAAGGCAACCCACAGAATGGGAGAAAATATTTATAAATCATAATCTGATAAGGGGTTAAGAGCTGGAATATATAAAGAACTCCTACGACAAACAAACAATCCAATTGGGCTTGGACTTGAAAATGGGCAAATAGACTTGAATAGACATTTCTCCAAAGAAGGTACACGAATGATCAATAAGCACATGAAAAGATGCTGGACATCACTAATCATCAGGGAAATGCAAATCAAAACCAAAATCAAGAATGAGATAGCAAGGGCCAGCTCAGTGGCGCAGTGGTTAAGTTCACACATTCTGCTTCAGTGGCCCAGGGTTCACCAGTTCAGATCCCGGGTGCAGACATGGCACCACTTGTCAAGCCATGCTGTGGCAGGCGTCCCACATATAAAGCAGAGGAAGATGGGCATGGATGTTAGCTCCGGGCCAGTCTTCCTCAGCAAAAAGAGGAGGATTGGCAGTAGTTAGCTCAGGGCTAATCTTCCTCAAAAAAACCACTAGTAAGGGCAGCAAGGCAGAAGAAAATAACCTACAAAGGAACGCCTATCAGGCTTTCAGTGGATTTCTCTGCAGAAACCTTACAGACCAGGAAAGACTGGAATGACATATTCAAATCTTTGAAGGACAAAAACTTTCAGCCAAGAATACTCTACCCAGCGAAAATATTCTTCAGATATGATAGAGAAATAAAAACTTTCCCAGATAAACAAAAGCTAAGGGAGTTCATAGCCACAAGATGCGCTCCCCCCCACCCCCCCCCCCTGCCAAGAAATCCTCAAGAAGGCCCTTATACCTGAAAAAAAAAAAAAAGGGAAACAGGGGTTACAAAGCACGGAGTAAGGAGAGAAATAGGTAGAAAAAATCAGAAAATTGTAGCTATACATCAGAACAGATTAGCAAATACTCAAGAACAGCACTAAAGATAAAGGGAAGGAAAACACCAAAAACAAAGATAAACTTCTCATTTTAATCACAAACTCACAACACAAGATGGAATAAGATGTGAGAAAAACAACTTAGGAAGGAAAGAGGAAAGGGACTGAATCAGTTTAGTCTAAGGAAATAAGAGGCCATCAGAAAATGGACTATCTTATCCACGAGAATTTGAATACAAACCTCATGGTAACCACTAAACAAAAAATCAGAACAGAGACACAAATAATAAATAAGGAGAAAACAAAGAAACACAACATAAAAAACTACATAACTTGGGGGCTGGCCCCGTGGCCGAGTGGTTAAGTTCGCGCGCTCCACTGCAGGCGGCCCAGTGTTTCGTTAGTTCGAATCCTGGGCGCGGACATGGCACTGCTCATCAGACCACGCTGAGGCAGCATCCCACATGCCACAACTAGAAGAACCCACAACGAAGAATACACAGCTATGTACCGGGGGGCTTTGGGGAGAAAAAGGAAAAAATAAAATCTTTAAAAAAAAAAAAAAAACTACATAACTCAATTGGTAGACCAAAATACATAGGACAAGAAACAAAAGAAATGCAGGAGAACCAGAAAACGAGTGATAAAATGGCAGCTGTAAGCCCTCATACACTGATAATCACCCTAAACGTAAATGGATTGAATTCTCCAGTAAAAAGACACATAGTGGCAAGATGGATTAAAGAACAAGACCCAGCAATATGCTGCCTCCAGGAAACACATCTCAGCTCCATGACAAACACAGGCTCAGACTGAAGGGATAGAAGATGATACTCCAAGCTAACGGCAAACAAAAGAAAGCAGGTGTTGCAACACTTATATCAGACAAAGTAAGCTTCAAGGTAAGACAGGTAAAGGGAGACAAAGAGGGGCAGTATACAATGATCAAAGGGATATTCCATCAAGAAGACATAACACTTATAAATATCTATGCACCCAACATAGGAGCACGAAGGTGCATAAAGCAACTATTAACAAACCTAAAAGAAGATATTAATAATAACACAATAATAGTAGGGGACCTCAACATGCCACTCATATCAATGGATAGATCATCCAGACAGAAAATCAACAAGGAAACAATGGAATTAAATGAAAAGCTAGACCAGTTGGACTTAATAGACATATATAGAACATTCCATCCCAAAACACCAGAATACGCATTCTTCTCAAGTGTACACGGAACACTCTCAAGGATAGACCATACGTTGGGAAACAAGGCAGGCCTCAATAAATTTAAGAAGACTGAAATAATAACAAGCATCTTCTCCAATCACAATGCTATGAAGCTAGAAATTAATTACAAGAAAAAAGCTGAGAAAGGGACAAAGATGTGGAGACTAAACAACATGCTATTGAACAACCAATGGATCATTGAAGAAATTAAAGAAGAAATCAAAAAATATCTGGAGACAAATGAAAATTAAAACATACCATACCGACTCATATGGGATGCAGCAAATTAAGAGGGAAATCCATCACAATACAGGCTCACCTTTACAAGCAAGAAAAATCTCAAATAAGCAATCTCAAACTACACCTAA